ATTTTAAGAGCCATACTAATCAAGCATTAACCCCTTTAAATCCCAGGATTATTACATACAAAGGCTTATTATTTAGTAACTACAGGGACTTCAAACTGTTTGAGCTATTCTTAGGTTACAGAAGTGTGTAATAAAACTTTGGGCAAGACGGTGGGCCCTGGCCATTTAAGGGGATAAGGTCCAACTGTGTACTCTGCCAAATATACAGAGATAAGACTAAGCTAAGACTAAGACTAATACAGAGAGAGAAATGGACAGTTCTATGTAGCTCTAATTTAATCTAAAATGCTCTAATTTATTGAGTTCAAATCAGGTTTATGAAGTGAACTGACACACACACACACACACACACACACACACACACACACACACACACTACAGTGCTCAAGCTTTTACATTTAACTGTATTTGGACAATTATATTCCTCACAGTTAATACACCTGCATACACAACACTTCTAGTTAAGAAAATGTTACTAACTTTCTCTAATAAAAACTTTGATTTTGAAAAGCGAAGGGAAATTGATGAAAACTGGCCGCTGCTGTTTCTCAAATGTTACTAAATTGGTTTGAGGAGTTTGGTGTGGAGGAACTCCACTGGCCTGCACAGAACCCTGACCTCAACCCCACTGAACACCTTTGGGATGAACTAGAATGGCGATTGTGAGCCAGACCCTCTTGTCCAACATCAGTGCCTGACCTCACAAATGCTCTTCTGGATGAATGGACACAAATTCCCACAGACTCTCTCCAACATCTTGTAGAAGCTTCCCAGAAGAGTGGAAGCTGTTAGAGCTGCAAAGGGGGGCAACTACAAATTAATGCCTATGGATTTGGAATGAGACTTCCAACAAGCTCAAATAGGAATGATGGGCGGGTGACCACATACTATTGGCCATATAGAGAATCTCCGCCACCTTACTGCATGACCCCCCCATGTTTTGTGTGGTCCTCTCAAAAAGCACGCTATGGGTTTTACTGTGTACATAGCCCATAAACTGCACTTTTGGGCAGCAGTTTACGTAATATGTGGTCAGAACGCATTTGATTTGCCCTTGAAACTGGAGCAAAAGGCTCAGTACTTCGAGCCCAGATTATATGTTTATATGTACATGGCAAAATGATTAAACTGCCAGTAAAAGATGTGAGAGTGATAGAGAGTTAATAAATTCAAAACATGATGCAATGACTGGGTATCCACTAATCCGGAATCAATCTACTTACCAATATAAATAAATAAGAATGAACGTAATTGTGGTTTATAGCTTCACCTTGTAGTCTCAATGAAAACGTTCAGTATATTGGAACTGTCATGTGCCACTAGCTTTTTTATGCCTCCAGAATATTTTTTTACTTCAGATATCTGTATTTTAGGTGTTTCTGCTAATTCAAACTAGAACCTCTGCTGAAGTGTGACCTACACCCATCACACCAGCTGTACTCTGATTAGTAGACAAATGTAGCTGGTTTCCCTGATAGGGATTGGGCCTAGTCCTGGAATATATAGGATTTTTCATTTCTAAGAAAAGGGAAATAAAATACAAGACTAGGCTTAATCCCTTTCTAGGAAATCTGTGTAGCGTCAGCATAAACAGAAACAGCAGCATTCTGTTTTCAGATTTCATGCTCCAGTGGCTGTAAATAAAGCGAGAACAATAGGGGGCTTAGAATAGAACTTTGTGGGACACCATAATGCACTCTTTTACGCTCTGAACACTTCATGAATGCTGACAAATTAGTAATCTATCAGATATAATCCATTCTATTATTGATGGCTGTCTCTCAGTTTTAATTGGGTCCCTAGCCAAAGTGTGGTTAAAGCTATAAAATGCTATCTTTAAAATTGTGATTTTTATATTTTAAGCTGTATACACTTCACTTTGCCCAATCATAGCCTAGTCTTTCCGGAGTTGCAAAGTACCAAGTGTATGGCTCCTCCTATTTTTAATTGAATGAAGATGAAACTAAAATTGTCGCCATCCTTCAGAGAAGATACTACCAGAAAAATTATGCCTTGTATCACACAAATAATTTTGACTCAACCCAAATGTGTTCATTTCAGCATGCTTTGTCCATCTGCATTTACTAACATCTAACTGCATTTCCAAAATATATCAGTATTACAGAAGGCTTATTATCCAACAAACACATCCATATAAGTCTATTTCCTTTGTTATAATAACAGCATTATCCTATATTTCTATAGACTTATTTATCACTCCTGACTGGCTTTGCAGTTGTAAGAAAATAAATGTGATATCTCTTTGAACATCCCTCATTTTATGTCTATTGAAACAAATAACAGACCACACAAAACAGCCCAGTTTCAGCAGACAAACTGAACCTTAAGCATTCAAAAAAAATGCTTTTGAACATTACAGTATGTTACCAATATTGTAAAATCGTTAAGTGCCTTTCTTTTTGTTTGAGATTCCTTTATGTCCTGAACCATTTCCTGTCAATAAGTGATGTTTATCATTCAGAATTCATTTGTATCTTGATCAAAGTGTAGATCAAAGTGATCAAAGTATACAAGTCTGGGCTTTCTTTGTAACTAACTGTCACCCCATTTTTACCTAAACAACATACCCAAAGTAAAAGGAGTGCTGATCCCACATACTTTGGGCTACAGTTATGATCTTGGTCTCATCTGAAAGGAAACAAAATAGAATAATTGTAATCAGTTCCCAATTCCCAATTAGAAGAACAGTATGAATTAGTGACACAGAGTAACAGAGTCTAGAACGGAGGAGTTTCTTTCCTCCTGACTCAGATCTCTAAACTGATCTCTGACTCTTGCCGTGTTATCAGACCACATGTTGTGGATTATGGTGTCTCTGTGGAGGTGGAGAGGCTTTGAAGGTGAGGACACACAGATTCGTTAGCGTTTGCTCATTCGGTGCTTACGATGCAAATGAGTTGATCGTAACTGCCGTGAGTAACAGGTCATAAAATGGTTTGCGGGAATTGAATCCTGAGATTTCAAGCTTTAAGCTGTTTTTCCTGGTGTGGTGATCTTCATCCTGTCCCCGTCATCAGAACTATGCTTACACAATGATTTGGTTCTGTAAATGCTAAACCTTCCATCTGTCCATTATAATATCAACACAGAACCAACACATTAGTAACATACTATGATAAATAACCAAAACACCCTAATACGCTGTTTTAAAGTAACCACATCCTTCTCCCGATTGATTTGGATGAATTTGGATCAAAGGTTTTGTTCAGACAACATTTTCAATTTATTCTCTAAATTGTAGCATTATTTGAAACATAATTCTAAATAATACTTACATTGATGACAAACATATTTTTGTTCATGTATGCTTCAGTAAAAAAAAAAATCAAGTATATTTTCTCACAGCATAACAAGGTATAATTTAAAATGTGTTACTTTACAACTGTACTTTGAAAAATAAAGAAAAATATATCTTAGGTGGATTGTCAGGTGGTGATGTGGGTGAATTTCCATAAAATACATAAGTAAAATAAATTATGAAAAAATTGTATTCTCTATACACTTGTGCTTTCTTTATATTCTTCAACTTATTGTTCAGCTTTACGTTTATTGATGGGTTTAAGTGTCCTTCTCTTTTACAAGGGCAAAGGTCTACATGAGAGACTTATGTTGTATTTTGTATATTGCAGCCAAACCTCTTTTACTCAGCTCTTGTTTTGTGCTGTGTTTCATTTCAGTACGGAGCCCCGGAGGGGACGGAGGTAAAAAAATAATAATAATTCGAGCGAACGTTTTGTAGTTCGTACGCACGTTTTCCTTTATTCGTGGTCACGATTTCTTAAATCGTTCCCTCGTTTTCTTTTAATCGTGCGCACGTTTTCTTTACTTCGTGGGCACGTTTTTGTTTATTCGTAATCACGATTTTCTAATTTGTTCCCTCGTTTTCTTTTAACCGTGGTCATGTTCTGTTTTTAACTGAACGCACGTTGTTTGTGTTTTGATAACAGCTCCCTGAGACTGTCTGACGGGTTTTGATGTGTTAAACTGATGAGATAATGAACAGAGATGCTCATCAGGTCTGATTCTGATTTGGGGGGTTATGAGGAAACTGCAGCTCCTCTTCACAGCAAACGGCCCACGGTGTTTCTGCTCCCGGTCAAGCTGCGGTGTTAGGGACCATCACACAATCACAGGACGAAATGATCAGCATTTCAACATCCTCATTAATATATCTACATCTAATCCATAGATCTATTAAACTCTCTCACCTTTTGACCTCATCGCACCTGAGTGTGTCTGTGTGTGTTTAATTTGAGTTTGTTGAAAAGTTGATGCTGACCATTTCTTCCTGTAATTGTGTGATGGTCTCTAACACCGCAGCTTGTCGCGGGAGCAGAAACAGTGCTAAGTGTCTATATCTCTGTTAAATATGATCATTTCAGTGCAGTTTAGTGAAGATTGTGGTTGTAGTTTGTTGTCTTTCTTCATTTCACCACCAAACTGCAGCCGCACTGATGAATCTGAGGGTCGTTCGCTGTAAAGAGGAGCTGCAGTTTCCTCATAACGTCCCAAATCAAAATCAGACCTGATGAGCATCTCTGTCCATTATGATCATCAATCTAACTCATCAAAACCCATCAGACGGTCTCAGGGAGCTGTGTTTTACTTCTGCACCGGACAAATAGCACGACCTGTATCTGCAACACTGATTTTGCGCACGAATAAGAAAAATAAACAACGTGCGTTCAGTTAAAAATAAAGCATGACAACGATTAAAAGAAAACGAGAGAACGAATTAGAAAATCATGGCCACGAATAAACAAAAACATGTCCACAAAGTAAAGAAAATGTGCGCACATTTAAAAGAAAACGAGGGAATGATTTAAGAAATCGTGACCACGAATAAAGGAAAACGTGCGTACGAACTGCAAAACGTTCGCTCGAATTATTATTATTTTTTTAGCTCCATCCCCTCCGGGGCTCCGTATTTCAGAGAGTTTTCTTGTTTCTTTGTTTCTCTTCATTGTTTCCTTCATCCCTCACTGGGGGGCAGCACTGTCACTGCTGAAGTTCACAGCTGCATACTGAACATCCTGGTCCTCTATGAAGTAAAGAGGAAGTGAGGAAGCGGGGGGCGGAGCCTCTTTCTGTATGTAAGAGCGCTTAAATTCAACACTGGAGTAGTGAACGCCATCCTGATTATCTGATTCGTCTCTCTGTGTGGGGTCAGAGGTCATGGCCAGGTCTGATAGGTTACTGTACACAGCAGTAGAGTCACACTGAGAGAGAGAGAGAGAGAGAGAGAGAGAGAGAGAGAGAGAGAGAAAGCACATAAGAATTTCATCACGTTTGGATGTCACATGAGCACATTGCAGTAATCTTGGCAGATAAAGATGTAAAAATATATTTCTAGATATTATTATTTATTTAAAGTTATACTACGTTTTGGGAATATGGAGACCTCTCTGGTGGAAATGTGTAACTGCACGGAACCTGTGGAAGAACATTTTATAGCATGGGTTGTGCTTTGCTGCCCTTCCCTGAATTCAAAGAAAACTGAAGCACGCGTCATCTGAGAGGATTACCTACTGTTGTCATCATATCTTCATCAGTATAATGTTGATTTTTAGATCATCTGAGAGGTAAACATTAAGCTGGAGCTTCTTTTTGAGTCTCTGTGTGTGAGACGTAAATATATAAATTGACATAACTTCAATTTTAACAAAAAAAGTTAAAATTCAACTTAATTCAATTAGCTGAACTTTTTAAGTTTAATTGTTTACTCTGCTGGCAAATACTTCTGCTTGTTTTAAGAAATAATGCTAGAAGAAAGCTAAATTCTTTTTCAGGACACAAAAAATCACTTCATATATACCATGAAGTATAGAAAAAGACTGAATAATCAAATAATAGTCTAACAGTAACATCATAATGAAATACAGTTGCATGCAAAAGTTTAGACACTCCTGGCCAAATTAGGAAAACATTAGCAAATATTAATGCACAGTTAATGCAAGGTTACTTTATATCTAATTAACTTAAAAAAATAAAATAGTAAATATGGATTGCACTAATGTTTGGGCACACTTCTTAATTTGCCTTGTTTGGCAGGTCAAGAATCATCTGCTGACAGTAGAGAGTTAAATTAATTCTGTGACTTTTCAAACCTTGTGCTAACACTCAATAACCACTGGCTCCACTGAATAACTGGCTGAAGAACTGGAAATGAAGCTAATTGATGCCTACAAAGCAGGACAAGGCTAGATATCAAAGCACTTCCAGTTCACACTTTCTCCTTTCTGAAGTGTCATTAAGAATTAGTGGTGAATTCCAGGCATGAACTGGAAAGAACAAAAAAATTCTTAAATGTAACTGTGCATATGCTGACCGGAACAGCAAAGCAAAACCTCTATATGACAGCAAAGGACCTGCAAAAGCATCCACTTGGAGGAGTCATCAAAAGTATGTATATATAGTTTACTTTGTTGTTGAGATTGTTTATGTTTTCACTTGAAAATCAATGAAATATGTAATTGGCCATGGTATTAAAACTTTTGCAGATAACTGTACATGTATTACCTACATTTAAAGATTATTTAAAGATTATTATTTCTTGAAGAGCACGTTTACGTTGTATGCAGAAGAGATTTTTGCTTCTTACTTCATGCAAGAAAAGTATCAGGTGTACATTATACAAAGGTAAACACCCACTGGAACATGTTTAGTTGTGATCTGTTACTTAATGAAACAAACAAATGAATCACAATTTTATTTACTACGTGTTAACTAATTTAACAGGTTAATGGGCAAACATGTTCTCTATCCATATTACAGACAAACCAATCCTTTCTCAATTTTAAATTTTTGCAAGATTCCTGTGAACATCACATTCATGAATCATCACATTTATGTAGCATTTCAGTTACGTCCATTAGATAAACTGGTTTTCTATAAAAAATGATTGTTGTTTGAAGCCATATCAGAGTTATGTTTTGCACAACTGAATTTGATAAAGTAAGGTTGGCAATCATAATATAATAATTTAATATATTTTTTTTTTCCTCAGGCTTAAATTTTGTAGTCTAGAGTTCAAGTCAAATTGTGAATCAGTTCAGGTCAGGTTTGAGCCAAGTTATGAATCTTTGAACATGTAATTTGAACTACTTTAGACAGAACTGCTGACTCAAGTCCCATCTCTGACATGCAGCTCCTCCTCACCTGCACATTCTCCCCAGTGTTATTGTGACCTTTAGCTGGGCTGGACTTCCTTCTCCTAAGAAGAAAATAATGAGCACTAAAATAAGAATAAACCTGCATTCATTTGATAGTCACTTGAAAAATGTATAAATTAGGTTAACATTTCACAAACCTCATCCAGATCCATCCTATGATGAGTAATAGAGCCAGAAAGGCTGCCACACCCACTGTGACAAACTTTAACACTGTGCTCTCCTCTGGACCTTGAGGACCATCACAAATAAACCATGAGCTACACAATCAATTAGAGTAGCAGAATCTGAGATGTGAATTCACATTGTTATTATAATGCACCAGTTTATAATACACAGGAGTTATAAAGAATGAAAGATTAGGTGTTCCTCTAAAATTAATTGTAGATGGATTATGCTCCAATGCTATAATGAGTCTATCCATGCTCTGCCCACATTCATACGTACCTAGTGTTGTAAGGCTGGTCAAGCTTTACACAATATTAAAAAAACATATCAGGGCTGTATAGAACTGTTACCTCCTAAAGCACAAGAATACTGGAGAACATCCTCAGTGCTTGCCGACTCCAGGTAGAGCTTGTTGTATCTGGTGGGTTTGTTAGTTACAGGCTGTCCGTTCTTGTACCAGATGTAAGTGGGGTTGTTGGGCAGAGTGCAGGTGGAGATACAGGTCAGTGTCACTGTCTGTCCTTCTGATGGAGTGGTGGGACTCACTTTCACCTGAAGATCTGAACATGAAAAAAAGAAAGTGTAGCATTTTTAGTATTTCAACATATACATCATTGTGAGTAAGAAGAACCTTAGTTACAGTTGGATGTGGACACATACCTGTAACACTCAGAATAACTCCAGGATAACCAGAGAAACTCCCTCCTGCAGTATCAGTGATGAATCTAAAGCAATATTGTCCAGAGTCACTCTTTGTCAGATTGTTCATTCTCAGAGCACAGTTTCTCACTTTATCTCCAAGAAACTCCACTCGACCAGCAAACTGCTCTTCCACACTCAGATCTGTCGGCTCCACTTGAGGCCGAAAGTAATACCAGAATGTTTTAGTAACTCTCTGATCTCTGGGATATGAGTAAGTGCAGGGAAAGTCCACTGATGAACCCTCCAAAGCACAGACTCTTCTGTCTGAGTAGGTCACACTCCAGCAGTTCTCATCATTAATACCTGTAAATATAAAAGATTATGACCTTTGTTTGTTTTTATTGGTACTGAACAATTAGACATGAACAGCTTTCATACTCACACACTGTATTGGATCGGATTTCAGGATGGCTGCTAACAGAGCAGGAGTAGCTGCCAGGATCATCACTACTATATGAACTCAAAACCTTCTGATGTTCATTTGTTTTGTGCTGATATCGTCCATTTTTGTACCAGTAGTAATAAGAAGGTTTAGAGGTCAGACTGCATGAAGAGCTACAGGTCAGCTCCATCTGATTTTTTGTGTCAGTGGTCATCCTCATCTTCAGATCTGAGTGGAATTGAATTTAAAAACATTCCAGAAAATATCTTGTACACATATTTCAACATTACAAAGTCATTAAACTGACTGATCAGATCACTGTAGTTGAGCTGTATTACCTGAAACTGTCAGAGTAACTGCTGTTGAGCTGGAATATTTCTGTCCTGTTTCTGTAATGACCATGAGGTGATATTCTCCTGAGTCTCTCTCTCTCAGGTCTGATATTGTAAGAGTATCATAGCTGTAACTGTATCTTGTAGTCTTATCATATCTCACTCGTCCTGCGTAGTCTGAGTCTAAAGCTAAATCCTCTGGATCTTCCTCGTTCCTCCATTTAGCTTTTTGTTTGGGGCTGAACCAGAAGCTGTGCTGAGGTTTGATGTTGGTGTTTGAGTGAGAGCACTGCAGGGTCTCTGTTGATTCCCGCAGAGCACAGATAGTCTGAGGACTGCAGGTCACTCTCAGAGTCTCACCCAAAGAACCTGAAACTGAAACAGTGTGCAGCACTGAGTCTGCAGGATTCCCTGCACATTGTACGTAACATCATATTTCATCACTCTTAATTTTGGTGACTTGAATGCTATGGCATTTCCAAAAGAACTTCAAGCTGGATATTTTAGTACATCCAACATCAGCATGGGAACACTATGGTTTGTAAGGCTCTATTCTTCTCTATTTTAAATTTTTAGTTAATTATTAATTTAACCTTATGTTCCATCTCTTATCATGTTCTCCTGGGTCTTGTTGTTAGACTGCCTCTGGCTATTTAATGCCCGTCTTCATCTTCAAAGTATTGTTTGACTGTAATCTATGCCAGTGGTTCCCATTCCTGGTCCTTGAGCACCACGTCTTAGAGTTTCCCCTGATGCGACTAAATAAATAATTATCAAGGCCTTCCTGAAGTGAACTGAGTGAGTTTAAGCAGATACATTCAACACTAAAACATGCAGGGCAGTGGAACATGGTTTCTCCATTAGTATGTGTTCTAGGATTGTTCTATTTTTATGCCAAAGTGGTCAAAGTGTGAAAATGTTACCTCTGAGTTTTATATGTTTTTTTAAGAAGCAAGCAGGAGCCATTTTAAAAATTTTGTGTTGGCTTGAAGATGAGACAGGCAAATGTTAAGTATCATAAAATCTAAAAGCATTTCATTTTCCAAACACAGGTCATCATCTGACAAAGGGAAGGTTTGAGTAACAGACACTCGTTCAGCTGAACTAAGGCTAAAGCTAACATTAGAGCTAACACTAGAACTAATCATTGTTAAGAAGGTGCTTAGGATACATTATTGCACTCATTTGATTAACTATCTAGTTTGTTTTCCCTGAGAGCCAGATAAAGATTTCCACTGTTGGCATAATGCTAATTCTTGCTGATGTCCTTATGAGATTAGCATAATCACATTTACATTTTATGGCAGTTCTAATATAAACATGGTAATTTGAAACTCTTTTAGTAAAAATGTGAAGGCCTGCCTTTGTTTCCATTAGTGTGTTAGTGTTATTTTCTAGTGATATTTAGCATAATTTGAAGAAAGAGGTGATAACCAAATTATATAATAAACAAACTGCATACTACATAATTTCAGCAAAAATTACTTCATTGTTTTTTTTGAGGGCAATACAACTGTTATTAAACATTGCAAGAACTGTGTCTGTGATTAAATATATACAACTTGTAAAATAAATTATTAATTCAAAATAAAAGTAAAATACTGTCCACTTATTGATGCTGGGTGTAAAGTTAACATGTAGGCTTATTGGCAGGTAGTACTATCATTGAGAACCCTTCCCACAGAGCACTAACTTTTACTGAGAGCTGTGAAAGTGCTCCAACATAAAGTATATAATTTATTTAAATTATATAAATAAATTTTTAAATCACATAATCATTAATATATGTCAGCCACATTTATAATGACATGACGGTATTATCATATCTGCAATTTTAATGTTATTTTCTGCTAGCAAACTGCAATTTTCCTCCAGGATCAATAAAGTTCTATCTATCTATCTATCTAGCACTGTAATGGCTTTTTCTATGTTGAATTAGCTTCAAGCTACTATTCATCTCTTGCCAACACAGACATTTGAAGCTGCAAACAGACTTTCAGGTTAATTATTCAGAAAACATTCCTACTTAAAGCCTAACTTTGAATATTACTGGCCTATTGGCTTGTTTGCAGTCTGCTGAGCTGGTTGTTAGACAAAACCATGTTCTTATGTAGGGCAGGCATAGGTCAGTTTTGGGCCTTTTATTTTATTTATATGCTATTTATGATGGCAAACATACATGTATTCTCTTTGTTATATCTGTGTTCACTGTGATTGTTCAGCAGCTCTCTGATTCACTCAAAGGAAGGAGCATGACGTGTGATCAGAGTGTGGAAACATGGTGGAAAATTGTGAAACCAGAGTTGAAATGTGTAAAAATTTTTACTTTAAAGTAGGAATTATTGAATAGAGGCACATGTCTACTTAAGAGGTAATCCTGGGTTTAATAGATGCTTTTTACATTCTACTTTGGACTCTATCCTTGGTTAAAAACTGTACACACCAGACTAAACACCATAGTAAAATCAGAATAATCCTACCTGGAATACTCAGCAGGATGATCAGTGATAGGATTCTACTTTTGAAGCCCATGGTTTCTCCTCATCTGTTGTCAGCATGTCCAAACATTTACACTTAACTGTATTTGGAAAAATATATTCTGTACAATAAATTACAAACAGGACAACTCTAGTAAATAAAATATTACTTACGTTCTCTAAGGAAGACACTGTTCTCTAGTTGTGTGTGGGTGCGGTTTGTGTCTTGAGTGAATATGAGCCACTGCAGTCTAATTTCCTTCCCTTTTCTGTGTGGTCAGTGAAAACAGAAGGCTTTTTCCCTCATTTAGCAGCCATTTTCTCTTTTCTCTTGTTTTATACTTCATTACAATTTTTGTTCAAGTAATTTGAGACTCTAGGTTGGATTCCAGATAGGGAATGAGCCACACGCTGGGCTACACAAAAGTATGAATGGAGATTCTCCACTGAAAAAAACAATGGAATCTATAACTAGGCTTAATCCCTGTCTAGGAAACTGAACCTAGATGTTAATGTAAAACATTACATGAAAGTTGCAAAGCTTCAAAATCTAATAATAAGCAAAAACTACACAATACGTAATGCTTTGCTGGCCCAGGAAAATGAGGTACACAGTACTGGGAGGTGCTTATGTTTCATCTTCTACCAGTCTAAGTTTCATGAAAAAAGATTGTTCGATCTGTTGCCATGCCAACCAATAAGCCAATCTCTAAAACATACCCATGATGTATGAGGAACAGTGACCCTTCGCCATGGTACATTCACAGAAAAAAGGTACTAAACTGTGACTGGGTCAGTACCCCTCTAGGGACCCTCAAAGTACCTTTAGTCAGGGAACATAACTGAACCATAATCCACTGAAATGATATGTTCTAAGCTGTACTGACTCCACACACCCCGTCTCGTCTCCAGGCTTTTATTTTACTGTTCTGTTTTAAAAAGTACAAATACGAACTTTTCACCTGGAAAAACTTATTTAAGGTTCACAATCAGACCTTAAAACCACTGTCGAACCTTTGAGGGAACATTTACACTGTTTGTACCTTGATGAACAAAAAATGTACCTGAACAGAACCTTTATTTCTAATAGTGTACTGAGAAGGTGATGATGAAGATGCTGAGCATGGGCATCATCAAACCATCAGACAGCATCTGGTCCAGTTTAATCATTCTTATAAAATGGGATGGCAGCTGGCATATCTGCAATGACTTTACAAAGCTAAGCCAAGACTTAGCTTTCGACTCATATCCCCTGCCCAGAATCAACCATCGTCAACAGACTAGGAAAAGCCCGGACCTCACAAAAGTTTACTGGAAGGTCTCCCTCACACCAGATATCACACAAAAAAAAGAATGGCTACTGAGATTACCAGGTTTTGCTGTTCAGCCTCTGTATACTTTAAGAAATAAAGGGTCTAAACTGTCACTGGGGTGGGACCTTCAAGGTTACATCTTAGTACCTTTAGCCAGGGAGCATAACTGTACCATAATCCACTGAAATTGGATTTTCTAAGTTGTATTGACTCCAAGCACCCCATCTCATCTCCAGGCTTTTTATTTTATTAGGTTATGAAAAGGTACTTACTTTTCACTTGGGAAAACTTCTTAAGGGTACACATTTGGACCGTAAAACCACTGTTGTACCTTTAAAGGTACATTTACATTGTTTGTACCTTGATGAACGAAAAATGTACCTGCACAAAACCTTTATTTCTAACAGTGCAGAACACCAGCCATTTTCCACCACTTTCCAGTGGCTGATGGACATCGTGCTAAGACTGTGTCAGAAATATGTTTCAGGGTTCTGGATGATGTGGTGTTTCAGGACATTCATGGGGCTGAACTCTCCACCAGCTCCAGAAAATTCTTGGACTATGAGAAGCTCAGCACCTGTGTTATACTATTGGACATAGAGTTCTCCAACCACAGGCAAAAATGGTGGCCAGAGTACAACACCATCCATGTAAGTGATTTTTGGGGTTGGTGGGACATTACAGGTTCTTTCTTCCTAACATCTCCTCAATAGCCTATAAAGTGACAGGAAGTGACATAACCAGAGAGGCTTTTCTGAAGTTCCTCATCCATCTGCAGAAACCCTGACTTCAAAGACTTTTCATTTTCCAGACTGATGCCTCCAGTGTGGGAGTAGGGGAAGTCCTCAGCCACGATTTCGAGAAGGACGAACACATAATCCTGTAACCAAACTTAACAGTAGGATGCAGCAGTCAAGCAGGAGACCTCAGCCCTAAAATGGGCCCTACATGAACTGACATATTATCGCTTAAGTAGAACTTTCACTTTGATGACTGACCATGTCCTGCTACAATGAATGTCATAAGCAAAAACTTCAGATACTGGGGTCACTCACTGGTTTCTCTCCCAACAGGACCTTTGTTTTCATGTAAGGCTTTGAACCGCCACCCAAAATGGCATCGTTGATGACAGCTCCACTGGTCACTGTCAAAGGTGCTGAAAAATAAACACCAGCCTTGCTGGATGCCAGCTAAATCGAGTATACAAACACTCATTCACTTGGGTGAGTAGCAACAGAGCAGAGTTGACTAGTTTTCTCTCTCGCTTGGTATAAGTGTTGACTACACTGCTGTACATGGCTCTGCATTTTGAAAAAGATGGTTCTTCTTATATCTGTCATACTGTAAAGTAGTTTAATGGTCTGCTGCTTGGAGACAGCGCACATTAGTTATTTTCTGACATCAGACTTTAATGATAGACACAGTCTTCAGGACTGAGTTCTTTTTATTGAACTTTTTGGTTCATGCTTCAATTTTGATGTCTCTTCCAAAAGAGAGAGTAGAAAAATTTAAACTTGCATGTAAAGGAAAAGTACAATTCAACATGGCAATACTATACCATTTATTTACCATATACCAA